TTTTTTTTGGTACCGGGGATCAACTAAATCCCTGGCCCAACCATCACTTTTTTAAAATTTAAGGATTGGCCTTTATTTACCTTTCAAGTGCAGCAATCAAAAGCATATCAGAACACCATACCGTTTGACATTTGAAGAATCTGAGCATCATTTCTACACCGAAGGGCTAATGGTCATCATTTGTGTGAGCATGTGTGACTGAAAAGGTCAGTGGACAGAAAAAATAGCATAAGAAACACACACACCGGGCAGTTTTGATGGCAATGTCACATCATATGTCAGTTTTACAACAATGTTGGCCTTGGTCAGCATTTCCTAAAGGAAAAGAACATAAGGCAGCAAAAACAAAGAACCACAAATGAACAAAACTGGAAGCAGGTTAAGAACTCTGTGAAGACTTGAGAGACTGTATCTTTTTACTTCAAAAGACAATCCAGCCTTGTGTTCTCTAGAGTATTCTGCCTACAATTGTTTATTTTTCTCATCTGCTACTCTGATTTTCTTTACTTTGTCCAGAGTGGAAAATTTCCTAATCCCTTACTGTCTCTGAATTTTCAACACCAAACACTTCACAGAAGCAAATTCAGAAATTATATCAGCATGAAATTTTGTTTTGCATTAAGGTGTGTCATTAGCTCCAAAATAGCAGAAAGAAAAGGTTTCACTATTTCCATTTTCGACTCGCAGAAGAAAATGCAAATGGATCAGAATCTATTATGCTTAGTATTGAATGACTACCTTTATTTCTCCTCTTGCCAATTACTCAGATTCTATTGAGGCATTTTTTTTATTAAGGTGCTTTTTTGCCTGTATCTTTCTTAACATGATGTTGAAGTGGTGTAATGCATCCCTGATCTTTGACTTGCATATGTGACATGACTTATATATTAAAGCCCAGTACAGTTTAGTATTCTGAATTCTTCTGCCATAATATTCATTGGTTAGATAAAAACCTGCTTAAGAAGATAACACCAAAGAATTTTATCATAGAGAAGGCTCCCTTAGTGTATAGTATGTTTTACATATAGGTGAGGTGTTTGCTTGCTCTTCCATTTTTGTCTTATAAATACCATTTGCCCTTTAAGTTTTTTCTTCGGTATAAATTTAGAGCTGTACTTCACAGTTTTTTCTCACAATGAAGTTATGAGATTTCTTCTTAATTTTGTTCTTTGTTTTGAAAACCTCATTTTGTGAGAGATGTAGTATATCTTGTGGCTGCTGCAGGTTACAAGACTTATTGCTATAAAGATAATAAATTCTAACGGCTTTAAACAGATTGTTTTAAAGTTTTTGTTTTTTTTTCCAAAAGCCTTTACAGAGTTGGTTATAGCACTGACCTAATAGAAAAACAGGGTTAGAAAAGAAAAGAAAAACTGGTGAGGGAAGACAGTTGTCCATCCTTTTTGAATCTACCATTGGAAGAGTGAAGTATTGTCCTAAACAAAATGTGCTTCCTTCTTAGCTTTCCCAGAATGCTTTGCCACTGAGCTCTCCACTGCCTTGACTTTGATAGTACAAAATTTCTACATTTTTTGATATTAGAGATATTCACATCAATATCTAGGATGTCTAGTGGAAGCCAGTTAAGTTTCATTCTGAATTATTTTAAATCAGCTCTCTGACAGCACTGTTTGGCACTTTGGCAGTTTTTCATATTTCTTTTAAATTTTAATTATAGCCCATCAAGTCTTAAGCAATTACTTCTGGGTTAGACTCTTGATGAATGTCATAGCAGGGTGTTTTAATTTAATGGATCCAGAAAAACATCTGTTTCTAATATTTTAAAAGCCAATTTATATGGAAATTCATTTAATGCACAGTCAATACACAGAGACTTGAAAAATCAAACTGCTATGATGTAGTCAGTCTTCTAACAAAGGATTTCTCTTATGACTAGGTTCAGTTGACACTACTTAACTCTCAAAATATCATAGTTTAGAAAAGATAGCAATTTACTTCTCATATGTAAGAAATGGGGAGGTTGTTAGCCTAGGGCTGGTATGCTGTACCATAGCAGGGGCTCAATTTCCTTCAGTCTTCTTTGTTTTGGCATTGGATTCCCATCCCAAAGGACATCTTATGGCCAAGGAGGTTGCTCGAGCTCCAATATTACATGTATGCTCCATGTAGCAGGAAGGAGGTATGGGCAAAGAGGGCAGGAAGGTAAACGTTTCCCTTTTGGACACATTCTTGGAATAGTAGCCCAAAGTTAGTCACATGACCCTATTTATCACCAAGGGAAGTTTGCCTGATAGCCATGTGCTCAGCTAAAGACTAAAATTCTGTTAATATGAAAAAAGAGACTAGGTATTGGGAAACAATGAACTATCTCTGACATGTAGTATAATTTTCAAGACATGATTTTATCAGATCTGCCTTTTGGCCAGTTAGTTCTCATAAACAGATAATATACATGAAAGGACCAGCATGGTATTTGGCAGATAGTAGATAATCATCAGCTACTAATTGATTTGTTTTAATTATAACCCCCTAAATGTACTGAATTTCAGAAATTAAGAATCCAGAAGACTTTAATATGGGACTTTTTATAGATTTACTCCAGTCTTCTGTCCCAGTCTATTATAATAATAATTACAGCTAGTAGGGCAGAGATGTCCTTTGTACGAGGGTGTTCAGAATGCTCACGTATCTGCAAAGCAATGTTCTGTGCTTCTCTGTATAGAAGATAAATGAACAATTACACGTGTTTGTTAAGTGATTCCAATTAAGGTTGACTATTATCACAGAAACTGAAGCTCAGATAGGTTAATTAAGAAGCAACTCAGAGAAGCTATTGAAAACTACCATTGCCTAGGCATTTGATTCCAACTGACATGCTACCTGTTTCCACTAGCTGTGTCACTTCGGTTGTGTTTCTTAATCTCTTTGAATCTCTCTTGCATTTTCTTGTTTTTTCAAGTTCAGGCAGTAAATTACAGAGCTGGAACTCAGAAATGTTTATTTCGCCTTAGTCCCTCAATCAGGGCTTGTCCAGCCTGGATTTTGGGAACATTTATATGGAAGTTTTGATCACAGCTTCCTCATACCGAAGTGCAGAACTGGTAAAGGAACTACAGGTAAATGTCAGTAGGGCAGCCTCCCATCATATAATTGTCAGCTACATTTGCCTGAACTTCCTTGAGCAGCTCTGATATCAGACCAGGCAAGAGTTTTCTAGTTCTGGAATGTCACTGTCCCGTGCCTTCTAACTCATGTGCCTCTCTTGTGTTTCTGAAAATAGAGATAGGTGCACTATGGATACAAAATATTCCACATACCACCCTGCCCCCTGGGAGCTTCTGAACTGAGTCATTTATATGCGATCTTCAGTGAGTGTACCATGTCCACATATGCAGTAGCAGTAGTGTTGATTCTTGTCTTCATGTTGACTTTTAAACTTTTGACAGCTTCGTTATGAGCAAACTTCTATAAAACTCATTAGTGATAAGAAAATGGCCCATACGCATTACACTAAATATAAACATTAACATTTTATAGGGTATACCTTTTCATACACCCCCAGTGGTATGTGCATCACATTTTAGGAAGGCCAGAATAATGAGAAAAGCACAAGCCATGAAGCTCTATTCTGCTTTTCCAAACTTGGAAAAGCTATTAGTTTTTCTTATTGTAAGATAGATTCTTCATCTGAGATATGTGAATAATAATATTTACTTCATCAGTGTTGTTCTAAAGTTTCCAGGAGAAGAAGTAGCCACAAAGTCCAGTACAGTGCTTAGCAGAGAGCAAGTACTCGGAAAATGGTAGTACCTACCCTGAAGTTTCTTTGGAAATACCAGATATGCAAGCCTGGAACTTTTCTCAAATCAACAGACATAGTAATTTCTACAGGTCATTGTAAGACCTCTGAGAGCTGAGAAATGGGAAAGGCTGAGGTATACTATAAAGGAAGAGAGGAATCTCTGGGGGCTGAGGGCCCTTCTGCCCAGTCTTGCCAGCCTTCTAGGCCTTGGCTGCTCTCAGGAGCATTAGCATAACGTTGGATCTTGTTAGAGACATATAGTCTGTCTTAGTCAGTTTTCTCATTGCTGAGACAAAATACCTGGTATACAACTAATATAGTTGGAAGGGTTTATTGTACCTCACAGGTTGTAGAGGTTTTGGTCTATAGTTGGCTGGCTCCGAGGCAGGGTGGCATGGTAGAGGGGCATTGAGGAGGAGCTAAGAGTCCATGACAAAGCAGGGCAGGCAGAAGGAAGCAAAGCAGCAATCAGCAAGTGACAAGTGGCTGCTGCCACCCCAGCAGCCCTCTTTCTGTCCCTTATATTCTATACAGGCTATGCCCCCCCCCCTTAGGGCAGGTAGCATTCACACTCAGGGTGGGGATCCCTTAATCCCAGCATCAATCCCCTATATCCAGCCACCTCTGAAGATCCCCACCTACCTATTGCCACATGAGACTTGGAGGGTACATCTAGATATGAGCCATAACACTGTCTCAGGCTTCTCCCCCGGTGTGTATGTTCCAGACCCGATATTTAGCAAGATCCCCAGGTGATGTGTGTATATGAGAAGCACTGCTCTGGGCACTGGTGTTCGATCTAAAATTTACTTTTTCATAGAGGACCCATTCTGGCTATAAATGGTCCCTTATACCAGCATCATCTCCCATCAACCTGGAGCTTGGAATCTGTATTTTTAGCCAGTGTGCCATATAGTTTTCAGGGCAATTGTTTGTCAACTGCCACACTGAAGCTCAAGTCACTGGGAAAAAACCCTGTATTTATTCATTATGGTTATTTGCATTCTGGCGAGGAAGGAAGCTTTCCAGGAAAAGAAGTGCTTCTCTGATGGCAGTGTTAGTGAGCATTAGGGAGAAGATCTGAATTCAAACTAATAAAGTTGGAATCGCTTCTCAACACCACATAATAACGAAACTTCTGGGGAAGGCAAGAGCTCAGCACTGTCATTTTATTTATTATGTATTTATTTTCTTTTTGAGTTTTACATTTGATTTTTTAAAACATTTTGTCTTCTAGCCGTGCTATCAAGACTAATCAGGACCTCCTCCGAGAAACTCCATGGACACACATTTTCTACAATGATTTTTGGGGGACTCTTCTAACACACAGCGGCAGCCACAAGTCCTACCGGCCTTTCTGCACTCTTTCCTTTCGCCTGAACCATGCCATTGGAGGCTTGAATCCCTGGAGCTACCATCTGGTCAATGTCCTATTGCATGCGGCTGTCACCGGTCTCTTCACGAGCTTCTCCAAGACCCTCCTGGGTGACGGATACTGGACATTCATGGCCGGTTTGATGTTCGCTTCTCACCCCATCCACACAGAGGCAGTGGCGGGAATCGTGGGCCGCGCTGATGTTGGGGCCAGTCTGTTCTTTCTCCTCTCCTTGCTCTGCTACATTAAACACTGTTCTACAAGAGGCTACTCAGCCAGGACCTGGGGCTGGTTCCTGGGCACTGGACTGTGTGCGGGGTGCAGCATGTTGTGGAAGGAACACGGAGTGACTGTTCTCGCAGTTTCCGCAGTTTATGATGTCTTTGTCTTTCACAGACTGAAAATGAAGCAGATCTTACCTGCCATTTACAAAGTAAGTGATTGTTGGCTCAGGAGCATTGGATTACTGAGTAATCTGCTTGCCTGGTCCTTTGCCACCATTTAAAAAGCAAATTTGTTCCTCTTGAAGCAGAATTTAAAATAAGTTCCTTTTTGATCTTGGGCAAGTGGAAGTGTCCTTTTTGACCTTTCTCTGCTAAGCAGGGTTTCAGTCACTGCTTGTTTTAATTCTCAGGTTTCTTAAGTTTTTTCATCATTTCAAAGGTGGTAGAAGAATAATTTTGCCTTATAAATATCCATTTTTATTCATTGATTTTTAATTTATTCTTTATTCCTTTCAAATTCTCTATAATCCAATAAATTGTTTATAATATATATTTATAAAAATAACAGCCAATAATAGAGTTAGCTGCTAGACTGGACAGAGGGGAAATCCTCTGTCATTTGTTAGCGTTACTTTTCCTGAATTTGGAAAGCAACCCTCTCCTTACAGCCCTGGGAAGTTGAATTCTTAAACAATGACTCACATTCACCTTTTCCTTCTTGGAGTGTACAAGAAGAATCAAAATAGAAAGTGCTTATTATAAGTTTTGCCCTGGGGCCAATTTAGACCTTTGCCTGTGGACTGTAACGTTTGTTATTCTGAGTTCCCTTATTTCATGGCCGTAGAAGCACTTTGGGATGTGCCTACACTTAAAAAAGAGACTTAGTAGTTATTTGCCAGAGCATTAGGGGAGGCTTTGGGAGAACAGGGCCCCTCGCGAAACTGCCTGCCTTCTTATCTCCCCTTCCCTTCTCGGACACTCAGAAGACTCACCTTTGGTTTGATTTAAGAATGAATCTGGCCAGGGTTTGGAAATGTCAGCCTTCTATTAGGCAAACTTCCTCGTTCCTTTTGGATATAAACACAGTTTTTTGGGGGTGGGGGTGGGGGTGGGGACAAGGTATTGCTAGGTTGCCCAAGCTTGTCTCAAACTCGGGTATTCAACTGAACCCTCCTGCTTCAGCCTCCTGAATAGCTGTAGGCATGTACCACTGCACCTGTCAAGGAGGAATTATAGAATTTTGGTTATTTGCTGTGAGGAAGCCATCAAGTTTTCCTACATTTGACTCCTTTTTCTCCCTTACTTCTCAGTTTTGCTCAAAATTGAATTGGGAAGAAATTACCAAAAAAAAATGGAGGAAAATAAACACTTTTGTTGGCCATTTTGTTCACTTAGTAGACAGAATAATTACTGCTGTGCTTTTGCTCCGTGGGAAATACAACCTTTTCACTTAGGACTCAACTACCTACTACTTAATGAAGTTCTTCTGTGATTTCGATGAACTGCGGAAACTTTAAAGGGTAGAGTTTGATGCTGGGAAACAACATAAGGTTTGAAAGTTAAGCTCTTCATTTCCAAACAGTTTTAATTCTCTCAAGGAGAGTTGGAGAGAATTGTTTTTTCCTAGAATGATGTCATTGACAATAACACACTTTCTTATTTTCCTGAAAATTCAAATGGAATAATTTGTCTGTATGTGGGTTGCACTCTATTTCAATGCAGGCTCAGTAATGTTTCGGATCTCATGATGATAGCCTATGAAATGTTGTGGTTTCACAGAATTGCTGTTTCACCATCTCATTATTTTAATACACTTATTCAGGACATGCTTTGGGGTCTTTTTGAAATTCTTTTCTGCAAAATTATCAGTTCTCTAAGTATATTTTTAAGAGTAGAGTTGTTTACTGAATGTTTTAGACAACCATTGGGACATACTTAGAAAATTATTTGTTTTTTGAAATTAAAGTTTATTTCAGCATTCTGCATTTTATCTGGCAACCTTACTCATGTAACTGCTGCCTGATAAAGATGAGAAGTCCTGCCAGCAGAGGAACTCCTCAGAGAGTGTTGCAGCCCCTGTGTTATGGGAAAGGACTTAGTACTATTGATGGTTCAGTGTCCGAGGTGACACTACTTGTCCTGATCTTGGCCATCCCTGCTTGCAGGCCAGGCAGCAGCAGTGGTGGTAGTGGGGACATCCAGAGCCTACATCTGAGAGCTGCCCCCTTATCTTAGCTCTTTCGGTCATTCTTCTAGCTGAGGTCAAGTTTACCCAGTAGAATTCCTACTTGTGATCGTCTAGCAGTCTTTTTACTACACTCTGAAGGTGTGAAGATGAACAAACATAAAAAGTCAGATGAATGCTCAGTAGAAAGGAGATAATGTAGAAGACTTGGTCTTCTAATGTTAATGTTGGAGACTTGGTCTGTTCCTATGACATTTCTCTTCATCTGGAAATGGAGAGATAGTTATTGTCGTTTCCTGGAGTTGTGATGATTATATGAATTGCGTACCAGTATAGTATTTGGAAGGCACCTAATGTATATTAGTTGGAGAAAAATAAGAAACATTGATGGAAATTGTGAATTTTTACTTTTACTTTTTACTTTTTTTTTTTGGTACCGGGGATCAAACTCGAGTCCTTCCACTTGTGAGGCAGGCAGGGGAACCACTGAGCTAAATCCCTGGCCCCTGTGATTTTTTTACTTTTAAGAAAGCTGAGACCAAATGATAAACTTCTAAAAGTCTTTAGATGTATAGTGATTTGATGGCATATAAAATATGAACTGCTTAGAAATCAATCAAAACTGAAGTGTGTACATTTTAGCACAAACTTTGATTTAGAATCTCATGACTGAAAAGCTGATTGAGTGTATAGATTGTTAACACAAGTTACAGAAAATTCCATATTATGCCAGTGAAATATATGGATTTCTATATCTGGTACGAATTAGAAGAGATTCTTCTGGAAGGAAGTGGATTAGAAGACTTCAGAAGACCCTTTTGAAATTGTAGAGAATAATTATCTTAATTATCTTACTAGTTAACTTTGTATCCATCCTGCTTAGGGTTTGCCAGATGATGTAAACTGCCTTGTCCTATTAAAACATAACTCAAATGTGAATAGAAAACTCCAGTGCACAAATGTTTTAGCTTTATGATACAAATTGGAGAACTGATTAAATACTCAAGACCTTAAAATGGGTCCCTGTGTAAAGCTGGGAGTTATCCCATTAGAAGGCGAGAATTTCTGTTTTTATCCTTTTAACAGTGATACTCAGCATCTCTTTTTACCATGTTCGTGGTTCTGGGTCTGGAACTCTTGTGGTGGTGGTGGTACTGGGAACTGGGCCCAGAGCCTCCATACATGCAAGGCAAGTGCTCTACCACTGTGCTACACTCCCTTCCTTTTTGTTTTTGAGACAAGGTCTTGGAAAGTTGCTCAGGTTGTTTTGTGATCTTCCTGCTTCAGTCTCCTGAGTAGCTGAGATTACAGAGGTGTGCTACGGTACTCAGTGTGGTTCAAAACACTTAGGTAAAGTCACCCTGCTTCCCAAGCTTAAAAGCCTCGCAGAGCCATGCAGAATTATGTTGAACTGAGGTGAGGTGCCCTGTCACTATTTCGTTCTGCCTCATAATTGCAATTTTTTAAAAATGCAGGCTGTTCGGTAGAGCTTAAGATTTATTTAGGAAAACAGAAATTCTTTTGTGATGTCTCCTATTTTTTAATATTAGTTGTGAATTCAAAAACAATCCCTGGTTAGACCAGACAGTATACTTGAGATGATAGAATTTGGCTAGTTTTAACTTGTTACAAAGGACGCACATATCCATGTTATATACAGCACTTTTTCAGTTCTGCAAAGAACATATTGAAAGTTATGTTTTTCTTTGGTAAAGTATGTGAGAAATAGTAAGATGTTGGCATGTAGTAGATATTTTATTTCATATTTAATGAACACTTAGAGTGTTCATACTTGCCAGGTACTGTTCTTAGCATACTAAAATATTAACACATTTAACGTAACAGCTGCTTATTGAGAGAAGCAGTATGACTTGTGAAATTATATGGCTGAATACTGACAAACTGTAATTTTGTCAGTAGGTAGATTTGTCAGAAAATATTAAATATAAAAGTCTTCAGAAATGTGTGTTAATAAAAGAAGTGTTTTAAAATCTTCTGAGTTGTTAAGCCTCAGGATTTTATTTAATGTAGTACTTAGTTGTCTTTGGCCTGTAGTATGACATCTGGCGCATAGTAGGTATTCTGTAAATTACTGAATTTACACTAAGACTTTCCTTTTTAACATATATGGCTGTATGGTTCTAGTGAAATCTTTACTCCTATTTACAATGAGAATTTCATTTCTGGGTTAGTGGGGTCTGGAAGGTGGGACTGGAAGACATGCATGTCAGAAAAATAAATTTTCTTGACCTCTTACCAAATGATTGTTTTATCATTCTTCATGTTACTTTCATTTATTTATGTGGTCAAAAAGCAAGGAGAGGGGGACCTTGAATTACACCGAAAGTAGCCTTGCAAATAAATACTAGAGTTTTATCTGCCCACAATTTTTTTACAAGCTTCCCATGACTCCAGGAGGTATATGGATAATAAAATCAGTAAAACCAATGTTTTTCTTACCCAGAATCAGTCATTACTTGTCTAGTAGCCATTTTCTGTGCTTATTTAACATCTGTTAACTGTTTTAATGTGAAAATGTCTTTTTTTCCTTTTATTTGTCTCATAATCACTCAGTTACAGGTGGAAAATGAAAGAAAAGTAGGGAAGGGAATGAAAAAAATCACTATAGCAATTCTAAGAATAGCCGAGATTTGGAGAAATGATACCCTTTTGGTTTGATCTTTAAGACTTTTTCTAAAGAGGACTATTTTTGTTGTGCTACAGTTTGCTTCCAAGATGTGCATTATCTTAAATTTTGCGGTTCTACTTCACATAAACAAGATAAGACTGTGTTATTATACAGGGGAGTGGTAAGCATTGCCACTTTTGAAAAATGAGTCATCGCTTTCTCGAAGTAGCTTTTTTATTTTAATGCCAAAGAGGACATGGATTATGGATTTTGCCCATGGAATATAGCGTTTACCTTTGTCTTTGCTGTTGCTTAAGCTTGTTTCTGCATTTGGATATGGTGATCAGATCACACCTAGCAAACATCCCATATTGCCAAACCATTTGTAAAGTTTG